CGATAAAGATTTTCATCAAAGCTCGGACAAAATTTCGCCACATTACGCAAAAAGGGCACTAACGACGTTACCTCTAGCTCATTTGAATTGCTTGTGCTTATGTTTAAACAAAAATAATAATTTCTGTAAAAAATATTAAATGCCTCAACTCATAATACGATCAAATTCCTTCAAGGACTATTTCTTTGATCTGAAACAATTGAAGTAAATGTTGACCCTATTTGTTCATTGTGATTTTAATATAAGTGTTCCAATTTTTTAAGTAATCACTCATTGCTAAATTTGCATCGGAATTTCAAACTAAGTTTCTGCTGCAAAATAATCAGTTCATGGGCAATAAAATTTTGATTTTATTTGATTGTATGAAAATTGTAATGATGTGCTTTTCGACCTAAATAGCTTATCTGATCGTAAATTCTTAGTTCATTTTATAGAGCATGTATTCAGCAAATATTTTATTATTGCTTTTACAGAACCCTGATCTGCTTTGACATGTTTGTTACCTCTAAAATTACGAATGGCGGGGCATAAATGAAACATTGTTTCAACAATCTCCATAAATTTTTTTAAAAGAAATTTCTGATAAAATTTTTCATGTTCTGTCCGCTATCACTTATGTAAATTAGAGTCAAATAAGTTAATATCCACAATGTGTTTCAATAACTTTAAGATTTAAAAAAAAATTAATTTAATTTAAATCTACCAATAGTAATTATTCTTAAACAAATTTCCGTGTTGCTAACGCAAGTTAGTTTGTTTTTGCTTTATTCATTAGTGGGTGAAATCTTTGAGAAGTCAAAAAAGAATTAAGTTCATTTTATTTTATTCGCTACTAAATAATAATAAATCTCAGTAAATTGAATAGACGTGAAAAAAATGTTTTATCTTTATAATGAATTTCTGCCAATAAATATAAATGTCTTGTTTTCTTTTTTAGGTCGCAAGTTTGTAATTAGAGTCCACAACATGTGTTCAGTGTTGGTTCCTAGTGATGCAGTTGATAATTGGAAAAGTTTTTGAATTTTGTGTGTAGATGCAAAAAAGTTGCCTTTATGAGGAGCAAATGATAGTAGCAACTTTGTTAGTGCTGATAGTGAGTAAAGCGAATTCAAGCAGGAATGGTTTTCTCGTGCAAACATTGGGTATGAAGCAGAAGCTGATTCAGTTGCGCCTCGCGTGTCGTTGGTGAGAAATTAAATGAGCAGGTCGATACCGAACTTCAGAGATTGCCTCGAGACGTATCCTGGAGGATTGCACCGAGGTCAATCTTCTTCCATTTGCCCAAGTTCACCTTATAAATCCCCCACTTGCAACAGAAACCACTCGGCTTCGAGTAACTTTGCTCACTCTCATAATTAAAACGTTAGAAACTATGAATTGCAAGAGAGTTGCAAGTGGTTTCTAAGTGGCTCTTAGAGATTCCGATAGTTAAATTTTTATTCACCAAGTTAATCAAAGTGATTTACATATAATTGGAAGGACAACAGAGATGAGCTAATAATAAAACTTCGCTTTGTTAAAAGGGTGATCTCGTGGTCAGCATTATTGGCAGATCTCTTAACTTGATTGGTCAATCACATTCCCGAATGTCCGGCAGATCAGAGGTCCAGGTCCTTTATTTCGGACTATAAACCAGGAACTTTTCCTGTCACTGTTTGTTTCTTTGTCTACTTCCGGGAAAAAAAAGAAACGCCATTCTACGTGCTTGACCGTCCTTTAATTTATAATACTTAGGCAGACTTCGCTGACCAAGCCTTTCATGTAGAAAATCTAATTGATTACTTTTGTTGTAGTTATTCGGAAATAGATAGTCAATAAATCTTGTTATCGGACGACATTTCTACCACGAAGAACTTTCAAATATAAATTTACAATCGGGACTCAGGTTACGAATTCCCGTGCCACTCATGCACAAACGTTTCATCTATAAATCATTTTAACAGCCATTATACGAAATTATTATGTACATTTAACATTTTTATCGACTGCTTTAGCACAAACATTGATTGATTTCGTTTCGAAACATCATATTAAAGTCAAATTATGCCCAGCCTCGTTTTTACTCTGAAGTGTGCCAAGCCCATCAATAAAAATTATAATTGTTCATCATGTGTAACAATACTGTCTTCTTCAAACCAATACTTTATCGCAACAAATATGCGAATAAAAAGGTAAAAAGTAACAATAAATGCAACATCCCAATAATAATAATAATAATAATAATGATAAAAATATGTTATTATTATCCTTGATTTCGTTTATGTTTCGATGAAATTGTAAGTGACCAATATCGAGTAAAAGCTCAAGCAAACGTGCTTTTACGAATACAACAAGAAGGTATGATGCAATTTCCGCTTCTATTTTATTATAGCGCTGTACACAATAATGAGTTTCCTTGGGAATAGCAACGTTTCGAAGTTTCATTTGACGTTTTATTAGGGTTCGTTTATAAACAGAAAGGTTTAAAAAAAAAGAACAAAATTAACGAGCCGTTTTTGCAATCGGTGCACGTACTTACGTACTTTTAGAAAGCTTTAGCTGATTTGAAATGAAATTTGCTCAGCTAAAAGAGGCAACTGTACCTAGTTATTATTAGTCAGCGAATTACACATTAATGAATAGAAATATACATGATGTTGTAAACTAAAAAAGTAAAGTAATAAAAACAACAAAAATTTTCTTTTTCTTTTAGTATGTAATATACCTAATGTTTTATTTTAATAAAATAATGAGTAAGGTACGAGTATACATGTTACAAGTTTATGTTTATTTTGATTAAATATTTTTTGTAAAAATATTTTAATAATGTAGTAACCCTGACTTGTGTTATTTATTTTAATAAACTTAACGCTTTTGGTAAATAAGCTTGCGTTAAAATTCATTTTGGAGACGGTTTACATACCACCGCTCGATAATGGCGCGTGCACAAATTAAAAAAATTCCGATAGAGAAATTTAATTACCGTATATTGTATCATGGCAGTTTCTACATGAATGCCCAAATTAAAATAATTTCAATGCAAATCAGCAAGTATTGTTTGCCGTCGTTGCATAAAAATTTTTAATTAAAAATTTAGTTGCAAAGCTCCTAAAAATAAAACATCATAAACCAGTTCGTCTGTTTTCTTTTTGGTGTATCGTCATCGGTGACATGCACCACGGAGCTGCAAGCTTTAAGTTTTAATATCCAAAACGAAAGTGGGAATTTAATGTTTAATGAGATTTGTGATGAAGGGATGTAATGTAATAAACAACCAGTTAGTTAGATAATTGTGATACATGTGTCACGACATAAACGCTAGGGGGATGCAAGCAGTAACTGAATCTGGCGAGCTTTGCACACTAGATAAGAGCATGTTGGTTGTACTGCTTGACTACAATGACACAATTAACGATAAGGCACTAGTAGCTAAGGCAAGGTATGAAACTAAATCAAACATTTAATGAAAAACGAAAATCTTAAACGCTTTGCTAAACATTAACCAAATAAACAATAAATTAACGATAAGCCAGAAACAAAAGTTTAAAATTAAATAAAATAAATAAATTGTTCAGAAATATCTCTTCGCTATTATTAGTCAAAATATCTACAACTGTAAACTGCTTTTTACAATTTTTGGTTGCCTTTGAAAAACATGTGTAAAAAAGTGTTAAAAAATATTCGAACAAAAAATGTTTTTACTACTAGGTATAGCTTTAGAAGATTATACAGGGCGTTTTAGAACTCGCGTCGCAAAAAAATGCCAAGTAAAATGAGATAGCAAAAACAAGAAAAAAAATAAAAAATTCTATCTATAAAAATTATAATGATTTAAATTTGCCACTTTGACCCTATCTATTTCTGGTAAAAATAAAGTCTGTTTTTTTTTTTTTAATGGAAATGCCAAACAGTCTTAACGTTGGCATCACTAGTAAATTCATTCATGATAATTTTAATAAAGGAAGTTGGCAGCTCCGGTTTTTGAATTAATTTAAAAACAATGTCATTAAACGACAACATAAAAAATTTAGAAACGAAACACCAAAAAAAAAAAAAACAAATTCGGTACGCTAACAGTTTTTCGAAATTTGGAAACGAATGGTTCGCAAGCAGAAAGTTAGAAAAAGGGCCCGTTAAAATGTAGACGCAATTTGTAATGCAGGTTTGCTAAACATTCTTAATTTTTAGCAAAAAAATTGACAAGAATACAAAATAAACATGAATGAGAAAGAACCTCGGAAAGAACGCAATTAAACTAGTATCTTGTGCATCGTTTTTGAGGAACGAGTTGAAAAGTAACAATTTTGATACTAAAGCTGAAGAAGAATTTATAAAATGCATCAACTTTGAGCTCATTTCAATAAATTGCACAAAATTTATTGCCAATCATCATAATACCTACTTGTATCTTTTGCTAAATAACTTTTTTCTGTACATACATCCTTTTTCTTCAAAGTTTTTGTAGCAAGAATCGCATTTTTGTCCACAAAATTGTACTTACTTGCAGTGTGTTTCTATCAAAATTATTTGCACTGAATTCTGTCTTGAGACCTTAGGTAATAATGTCTGTCCTCACGTATTCAATTATAGCGCTTTCAAAGGGCAAACAGACACACAAGATTCATGAAAGTCAAAATTTTGACAACATCTCAATTTGGACACATAACCATAATTTTTTAACAAAATTTCTAGGGACAAAAACAAAGAGCAAACAAAATTTGTGGCTATGGAGACAAGCTGCTACCAATTTTTTCACCAAAATTTTGACTTGGTAATTTCCATTAAAAAAAAAAAAACAGACTTTAGTACATTAGTACAAACGAGGTGATAAATATGGCATTACCCCGAGTGAGATCGGATAAAGCACAAGTAATGCCATTACTTGTATGCTATATTATTCACAATCACATTATTTTTAGTCAAAAATTTGAATAAAATAAAATTCTAACAAAGTTAAGGTTCAAACGTGGTATGCCATCTAAATAGCGTTTGATTTTTGACATTTCTGAACTGTTAAAATAATGTGTGAATCTAATATTAAAATTGTTGAAATGGAATAGTGCTTTCACACACCGCCTCTAAATTCATACAATAGTTATTGTTAAAATGAATAAAATTATGATTTGATAACAAAAATAAATTATCAGGAAACAAAATAAAAAAATGAATCCTCTATAACACATGTCAACCTGAAACGGAGCAAAGGCCAACATCCGCTCTCCCGCTGAGAGCTTGCAGAAGCTCTCAAAGTTTTACAAGTGTGATAACCAGGTTTCCACCCCCATATATACCTCCAGCGCGACATATATTGCAACGAAGTCGGTGTTAGGCAACATGTTTTGCGCCCACTCTATAGAAGGGGGCGGCTTTAATCTGCCGGAGCGGAATTACACCCACACCCAGTACCTTTGTCTCTACAGATGACTTCCAACAAACTCACAGAATTGTCTTTTAAAGACTTCTTTTGTTCGCTCTTCTTGACGTATCTGATCCACTTGACAAGGACTTGGGCCAACAAGCAACTTGCAAATTGCGGAGCTTTGTTTGCAAACTTATCCTTCACAGTGACAAAGAACAAGTTCATCAAAAATTGAAAATTCACTTTTGTCGAGGCGTTATTAGCGCTTCAAAAGAAGAAAAAAGGGTTAGTTGGTCGACTGTGGTGCTGAGAGTTATGATCAAGAAGCGCGAGTTTCGTTCAAACACGCACACCTTTATAATTAGATCGAAATTGGGCTCGGGAACAAATAATCGAACAAGTAAATCAAGATAACAAGACAATGATGAGGCGCTCTAGCGTGACCATTAATCGGACCCTAACGGTCGAGGGGTCGAACGACGCAGCATCAATACTCCATCGGATGAAAACCAGATTTACAGATTTCCTATTTACGAAATGCAGCCAATTGTGGAGCTCTCATGTAAATTGTGCACTCCTGAATTATTGATTGAAGCCACGACACCGACAGATAATTACAAACGAAATTTGAGAACACTTGTGTTTAAAAATTAATTTGATTAGTTAGACTGGTTTCCAAAGTGATTAGTCATTTCAAGAAGCACTTCTTCGATTATCCTGGAAATGATTTTACTCAGACATAAACTTCAAAATTAGGACTTTAGGTCGTAAAAGTCAAATTCCTGTATGAGATATAACTCCGGAAGGAGAAGGGGAAGCAAATTACTTCGAAATGGGAGAACTTACTATGCAGAAACTTTATGTTTGTTTGTATAGGAGACAGTGGTGATGTTATAGTAACTAAATTGCTGCTTTAAAATTTTAATATTTTATGTAAAAGGATTTAAATAGGACGCTTGTGTTTTAATTAAAATTAACTTACTTAGGACCATCACTAAATGTTATATTGAGTGTTTCCAAAAAAAATTTAATAAAATGCTACTTTTTATTAATTTTTTTATTTAAAGAATTATACTAAAGTTTTTCAAAATTATATTTCTTTTCAAATAACAGAAAATAATCTTGCAATTACTCTACGGTTTACATCTAATGAAATAAATATCTACTTTATTCATATTGTTCTGGTTAATTAAGTGATACTTAATAATTTTTAGTTCATTTAAATTTTTTTAAATTGTTGAGGTAAATCCTTTGTTATAAGTAAAATTCAGGAGGGTAGACCGGTGCGTCATCAATTTCATTTTTTCATTACCAACTTAAAAGTGAAATAAAAAATTCTATCACATGGAAAAAATTAAAGGGTCTCTAAGGCTGGTAGCCTTGAACATTAATTTACATATGTACTTCAACTACACCATTTAAAAGTTGAAAGTCTTTTTGGTATAAATATTTTTCGTTTATTGGTTGACTTCTTGCTTTTGTTCTGCGTCTCATTGGTTTCTTTCAATAATTCCTTACGATTAAGTAACTTCTATAAAATCAGGCATAAATGCACTTGTGTTAGTGTAAAAAATTGAAACAATGAGGGGTCACCGATAAATATTAGCCCCCCCATCATCTTTTATTTATTCTACAAAAAATGGGGCCAATAAAAAACATTCAAATGCTGTTTTAGTACTATACATATTGTGTCTGCTATGGCACAAACTACACTCTGTAAATAAAATTGTAATTATTTGAGATTTTTTAGGTAAAAATGAGCGTTATTTAATGAAGTAATTAACAGTACAAACTGAAATCGACTCATTATTTTGACTCTCACATAAGTAACTTTCTGGTTTTCATAAGATCAGAATAAAAGCTTCTTAACGTTTATTGTTTGTTTTCAAAGGATGTAAGATGCAACTTTGTTTTGTAGACGTTCTGAATTTCAACTTTTTTTTTTACCTGGAAGAATGCATAAGATCGTCTATAGTTTTAAACCCTTAAAAAACTCAATGTAAGAAATTACTTGTCCATGCTCCTTATGTTTATGATGATTCCTATTTATGAAATACAGATTTTGCATCTGTTTTCTTCTCAACATACCCATTGTTCTTTAGAAAATCGGTTTTATACTGATGTACACTAAAAATTCCGAGTTATAAATACAACATCCAAAATCATTGCAAAACATAATGATGTAATGAATACACTGCCATTTCGAATCTATTACATTCAATTTTAAATGCCTTTGCAAAGAATCGTACAAAGCAACACTTTCATCAATAAACAACTTCTAACTCGTAGATATTGATCCTAACGCCAAAAAATTGACGTTTTATCATCGCGATGTAAACGTGGTGAGGAGAAACGTCAGATGACGCACCGCTCAACCCCCGTGATTTTTCCCATATTAATTTTATTTTCAACTGCATTCCATATTCGACCTAGTTTCATCATATACGCCAACGTTTGGCTCGTTGGTCTAGGGGTATGATTTTCGCTTAGGGTGCGAGAGGTCCCGGGTTCAAATCCCGGACGAGCCCATACACTTTTTATTTTTTTGTTTTAGAATAAATAATCATTGATAATTTCTCCATTGTTTGATTAATAGTGAATCAAAATAACATTTTAATAATTGCCTGCAATGTTCGTTGTTATTCATAAACTAGAATAAATAAATAACTATGATAAACAACTGCAGCTTTAAAAAATTTCTTATTGCAATCTAAATCACTGCTTTTCTTCTCAAACTAAATCGGGTTACAGTTACGAAATTTTCTGTGTCGGAGCAGCAAATAACAGGAAAGACAAAAGTAAAATAATTTTATCACGTCGAAAAAGTCCAGCTTTCGTCGTTAAAAGCGCAAGGACAAAATCAAGCGAAAATATTCAATCGACCATAATAAAAACACGCTTCCCGACCGCGTTTCAGCAATGTGCGAATTTTATTCTTGATCGATTTTGGATTAGTTCATCAAGTCGGCGAAGTTCCGCGAGCCCCAGATGCAAACCAAGAAAATAATAAATAAATTAAATTAAAATCTGTCAGAATGGATTAGAATTTCATGATATACGACCTACGTTTCGATTAAATAAAATATCGAAAGCTAGTATTTACTAGTCGAAAGTGGGACTAAGATTTTAATGAGATTTTTCGTGGCATTTTAGCATCTCCTTGACGTTATCGAATGAGCAATTCCGGCAGCAATCCGATTTGGTTTAGCGGTTCGATTAAGCCCTGGAATTATGTGGGTTCGATATTTAAATCTATAAGTTAGCATTTCAGTGCAAAAGGACGCCGTCACGTTCATCCCTTTATCTTTATCTCCCCAAATTGGCGGTTAGGGCTCCTCTAATCAATTGTTTTCTAAGTTTATAGGCCTTTTAAATTGGAAAAATAACCGAAGAAGACGGATAATTAAATTTCAAATCAAACCACAGCCCCGGAAAATTTTTCAACCAAAATCCACAACGCTGCAAGTTATAAATAAAGCGAGCCTGAGGTGCAGTATTTAATTCCGGGATCAACGAAAGGATCCATTAAAAGCTTATAGCACCATATTTATGTCTTGTTCCCGCGAATTCAATTTTATATTAAGCACAGACATAAACTGTTAATTTAAGACGTGACCTCACCTCTACAATCAAATTATTACAGAATTTGATGTTTTCTACTAAGGAAACTTTTCATTGTAAATTTTGCATATGTTTTCAACTGCTGCAAAATTAAACAATTTTAATGGCTCTTTTGCTAAGTGCACATCATAATCTGGCTTAATCGCAGTATTAATCCTTGTGAAAACGCTGCTACAATGTTAACAGAAATGATTGTAGCTTTTAGTCCCTCTTTGACAACCAATTTACTAAACTCGCAAACATACACAGGTATGAAATAATTTGTGGATTACTAAAAGGTTCCATTAAAAGCTTAGTTTACTCCTTATATCTTGTTATGCGTCTAGTGTCTTTAATTTTATATTTGGTGATAGGAAACTTTATAAATTACGGAAGTTTATTAAGTAGACACGTCGACCGAATTTAACTTACTTGCTTTAATGGCATTTCTTATAGTTTGAGAAAAGCAGTAAACGTAAAGTTGTGTTTTTAATTTTTAAAATGGTTAAAGAGATCAGGTGTTCTAAGTTTTTATTTATACTCATGTACTGAAAGCCATGACTAGTTTATTTTAAAAATTTATATAAACTGCGTGCTTTTATGTCGCAAGCTTTGATATTCAAAGTGTGTGAAACGAAAAAGTCTGCATTCTCCACTACTTTAAAATTAGTTCTGTCACAATTTACCCAATAAATTTAAAAAATTAAAACACAAGTTAGTCAAGTTTTATAAATCTGCTATGTATACAAAAATTGCAATTGTGTTCTTGCATTTTTAAATACAATTAATTTAAACCGATCAAAACTAACTTTTTAAAAACCCGGAGACATGGTTTCTATTATTCGATACCTAGTTTATAAAAGCCATAGCTTGCCTATAATTTGACAGTTGATATTCGTCCAAATCGGCCTACAAATTTCATAAAGTTAAACCGATTTTTGTCACTCAATAAAATATAAATGAACATATTTATAGATTCGTTTGAAACTACATCGCTTTTGTTTCAAATATGAACAGCAAATGCATTATTAATACAAAATATTTACTCTTGAAAATGAAAATTATTACTGTTTACTTTATGCACATGCACATGCTTTCTAGCTGATTTATTTATGTATTCAAGTTTACTTCACGCTTGAAAAGACGCCAAGTTTTTTAGTCATAGCAAAACTCACCTTTATTCGCTAAAATATATAACTTCAAATAAAATTAAATACAGATACCGGAGAACTACTTAATTAATTTTTCATAATTTTATTCTAAAAAAGTAGTTAGTGTTTGACTACTGCTGAGAATTGGAATTTCTAAGAAATTTCTTTGCAGAAATGGGTTTTAGTAAAAAAGTCTCATTTGGAATCATTAAATAAAAAAAAAAACAAATTAATTAGTAGAAAATTTATTAATTATTATAAAAGTTATAATTATTCTTAACATTATAATTTTTTTTTTAATAATGTGCTAATTTATTATTTGATGTGTGATTCATTCGCCAGCTCAAAATCAAGCAATTCTCCCCTAATTTAGATTATAATTTTTGGGGCCGCTTTCCCGTTCCCAATATATCAATCACGTCGAGATAATACGCGACCCCTTGTTGATCTTTTCATCGTCCTTTTCACCCCTTTTTTATACCACACCTACACATAGAGGTTTTTTACGTTTGGTGATATTATTGGTAGATATGTCAGTGATCTAACTTTGTACAACACTCGTTGACAACGACAGTTAAATTTGATTTATTTGTGTGTGTCCCATCGTCAATAATACAAAGAAATATGTTATCGACTTATCACGAACAATAATACGAAATGTCGGATGAAAACTGATGGCTTTTATACAGTTGCGTCGATAACGGAAACGAAATTGCAAAATATCGAAATTTGGTTTCTCTTTTTTGAATGCAATTGTGACCATTGTCAAAATAAAATAAATTTCATTATACGTAAAGCAAGTTGTTAAACTTTTAAGTAAAAGAATTTTTTGGTGTTTGGTTGAAACGTTCGATTTTAGTCAAATGAATGAATAAAATGGTAAAAAAAGATCCGATTGAAATATTTACAACGTACCTGTAAACGTCTGCCAACTAGCTGCCCCCACAACCATTTTACTTTTTTTCCTTTCGAAGCAATTTTTTATAAAAGACGTTTTATGTGTGAAAACTCTCACATATAAAGGGCGATACGTTATTTCCGAGTGGGTTGTGTGCAAATGTCCTAACTCTCTTTTAGATCATCGTTTTTCTTCAAGTTTTTCTTCTCTAAGTCGGGACGCTGATAATGTTTCTACTGTCGACAGTGTTGAGTAATTACGTTGAGACTTTATCTCAAAAGGTGTCACAGGACAATAGCCCTGATATCATCTCGAGAGGCAAGCTGACCGATAATAGTGAAACATTGCACTTTGTAGCTCTTTACTTCTGACCTGTATGATGTA